AGGGAAACAGTGGGGGCGAAAGACCTCTCTGGCTTTAAGATTAAGCTTGATAAGTTTATGGAGGGGACGGTTTGATGGGATAACGTGATTTTAGTCAATAGGTCAATAACGTGCCATCGCTGGTAATTAGTAACAATGGTCAATGATGGGATATTAAAAGTTACTACAGAGAACTTTTTCCGGAGGGTCTGGCTGGAGAATCTTGACCGCATGCTCAGGGTTCAGCTGATCGCCATATTTCGGGTCGGGAAGGAATTTTCCTCCAGGGTAGATTGGCAGAGGCCCAGGAGGTTTTTCGCCTTCCTCCGCAGCATGGGGCAGGGGTCACTTGCTGGGCAGGGGTCGCTTGCTGGAGGATTCTCTACGACTTGAAGTCTTTAAATCATGATTTGGGGACTTCAACAGCTGAGTCAAGGGAGAGAATTATTCCAGGAGTGGGTGGGTCGGCTTTTGTGGCCTGCATAATGTGGGAGGTCAGACTAGATGATCATAATGGTCCCTTCTGACCTTAAAGTCTATGAGTCTATAACTTCCAGCGATTGGATTGTGTTGGACCTTTCTCTGTCCCCATGTAGATACTTATAGACTGTGGTCAAGTCACCCCTTAACCTTCTCTTTATTAAATTCAATTGTTTGAGCTTCTGGAGTCTCTCACTATAAGGCAGGTTTCCTAATCCTTTAATCATTCTTGTGGCTCTTCTCTGAATCCCTCTCCAATTTTTAAGCATCCTGCTTGGATTGTGGACACCAGAACTGGACACAGAATTCTAAGAGCGGTTGGACCAATGACAAATACAGAGATAAAATAACCTCTCTGCTTCTATTAGAGATTCCCTTGTTTATGCATCCAAGGACTGCACTAGCCCTTTTGGCCACAGACCATGTTTACCAGGGAGGGGAATTAACCACTGGAACAGCTCCCCTAGGAATGGGGTGGATTCTCCAAGAGATGAGTACACATGGGGCAGAGAGATGAACATGGATGGAGATAGGCTGACAGGGTTAGAATCATAGAAGATTAGGATTGGAAGGGACCTCAGGAGGTCATCTAGTCCAACCCCCTGCTCAAAGCAGGACCAATCCCCAACTAAATCATCCCAGCCAGGGCTTTGTCAAGCCTGACCTTAAAAACCTCTAAGGAAGGAGATTCCACCACCTCCCTAGGTAACCCATTCCAGTGCTTCACCACCCTTCTAGTTAAAGTTTTTCCTAATATCCAACCTAAACCTCCCCACTGCAACTTGAGACCATTACTCCTTGTTCTGTCATCTGCCACCACTGAGAACAGTCTAGATCCATCCTCTTTGGAACCCCCTTTAACTCGCCAATGTAGCCCAGTTTGTGAGTTGTGTACACTTCTATAGCAATCACTGTTAGCATGATCTGCCAACCAATAATTAATTTAAGGCCAGCAGGGCCCATCATAACCACCCAGTCCACCCTCCAATGGCTATTAGCCAAGATGGTTAGAGATGCAACCCCATGCTCTGGGTGCCCCCAAACCTCTGACTGACAGAAGCTGGGACTGGACGACAGGGGATGGATCACTCAGTAAGTTGCCCTGTTCTGTTCATTCCCTCTGAAGCATTTGGCACCTGTCGGAAGACAGGACACTGGGCAACATAGACCATAGGTCTGACCCAGTATGGCCATTCTTATGTTCTCCTTCCTAACGCAGGCCAGAGAATCTCCCCAGCAATTCCCTCCTCCACCCAGTAACTCCTGGCTGAACAACATGTGTCTATTTAACTGGAGAAATGTGAGAAACATTTAGTTTGACAAATCTGAGAATTCACAAGGCAGAACAAATTTATAATAAGGCTCCATTTATAAATGATTCTTAGATGTCTTGAAGAATGGTGAGTGACTGGATAGAGCAGCTCAATAAGCTACTTAAACCCATGGTGTATAATTATTATTACTATTAGTGCGATTTATTTATATTACTGCAGCATTTAGGAGCCCACGTGGTGGACAAAGACCTCATTGTCCTAGCCCTATACAAACACCAAACAAAACCATCTACACACCTTGTAGTGCTTATAACCATCCACTACACACGCCTGTTCCACGCTGTGAACATCTGTGCCTCGTGGATTAACACTTTACCTGCCATTTATAAACAGAAGTGTGTCTGACAAAACAAATCCATCCCGAATGTCTCAGATTACTTATCCAGCTGGAGTCACAACTGACCCCTGTCACATTGGTGTGGCAGCTGTTGGTTCCAGTGCCGAACTGGACGAGATGAGGCAGGACTGGACGGGCTCAGGGCATCTTGGGGAGCCAGGGTTAGTTAAGAAGTGTCTCTCACCTGCAGAAGTGTCTGTAGGGATGCAGCTGTCACTGGAGCACTGGGGATCCAGCGTGCACGGCTCTACCTCTGGCTCCATCTGGGACTCACGGCTGGTCTGGGGGTGGAAATCCAGCCCTGAAGACAGAAAAGAGGGGCGTCCAGGGCTGGGTTGAACAGCTGTTATAAAGGACGCTCTGTGAGTTTGAACTTCTTGCCTGGAGGGACATATGATTGTGGCACATGGCAAAAAGGGCCAGGAGACCCATGGGCACAGCATGGGGGTCCTGAAGACAAAACATCTGGGTGGAAGACGTACTAATGTGACAGGCAATGGGGATCAAACGAGGGATCTTTGGGGCCAGAGTTCCAGCCTCTACTGCCGGGGGCCTCATCCACGCCTAAAAATTAGCTCGACCTAGCGGCATCGCTCAAGGCTGTGAAAAACGTCACGGGCTGTGCTGTAGTTAGGCCCAATACAGATGTGGCCAGGTCAAGGGGAGAAGTCTTCCTTGGTCCTAGCTACTGCCTGTGGGAGAGGTACATAAACTACATCCCTTCCACTGCTGTAGGAAGCGCCTATGCTGTGGAGTTACCAGGACAGCACTGTCCCTGTGCCCCTACAGTGTAGACATGGGCATGCCCCGAGCTCC